GTAGTCACTCATATGTCATAGGTCCATGGGTCTGTCATAGACGTGACATGCCATGACATAGTGACGCATTCACGTATTCACAGTTACAGTCATTGTCATTGTATTGAATTGAGAAGTTGAGAAGTCATATGCCATCCTGTGTCCAGTGTCAAATTGGAAACTGTTTTGCGTTGCTTGGCAGGCTTGCGGTGTCTTGTCCGGGGAACATCTGCTGCAACGCAACTTTCCGGTGTGTAGCCGCGTAGCTGTCTGTAGCTGTCCACCAACCCCACGCAACTCGCAATGAACCCACAAGCAAGCGGTCGAAGAAGGAACATAAGATCATCCCCCTGGTTTGTTACCCGTCCTTCTGTCACGTCACTGTGCCTTTCTCTGCAGCCCCCAAACCTGAGCGCTTCAAGTAGCTCTTTGCTTGGCTGCAGTGCGTGCGTTGGGGCCTCAAAACCCGCAGAAGGTCTTAAGACTTAAGACAGGGATGGGATAGAGATTCATACCCTGAATGGCCTACGCCTATGCCTTTGGCACTGACCACAACGGATGGTGGAAGAGCTGTGGTTCCCTGAAGGGAACTGTTTTGAAATTGTTTCGTTGCACAGCATCGAATCACAACAGACCGAATCTAATCTAACATAACACAGATCAACACTTGCTTTGTGGCGTGGGGCGCCAAATAATGTGGGATGCCAAATGTTAAACACGCTAACAGCTAACATGCCCATGTAACATGGCAGGGCTGAAACGGGTGACCAGGGCTTACGACTTGTTTTAATTAAATTGAACCCCACTTAAGGACCCAGTCAAAACCAAAACGTATATAGACTCCCTAGATTCATGAGAGACTGTCGGGTGTGAGGCTGCAAGGAAGGCTTTGTTTTTTAACATGGAAACTTGACTTGACTGACTTGTGATACTCACAGCTGCTGTCAGCCTAACCATGCACAGCTCAAGCACCTGCGCATTTACTTTTGATCACGATCACTGGAGTGATTTCCACTCGTTATTGATTGTGTAGCCCACATCGGAACCAGCCATTGGTTTTAGAGTCTTGCCACCTAAATCTGTAAGTTTTCCAGGCAGCTGTCCTTACTCTATAACTCTATACTTGCTGCTATACAGGTCAGGCAAACAGAATGGTAAACTGCCTTGCAGTGGTGGGCCTAATGACTAGAAACAACATTAGCAGTCTTTTTTTTATGGATCTGGAGCAGATTAGGCAAGCAACCTTAGCACACAAGTTGCTAGTTGCCCGCTCCCTGATGGGTAGGTTCTGCTGCTGCAGTGTGCGCTTCAGCAGCTCTCCCAACTCTTTTCAGTAGGCCACCGAAATGATGGTTGAAAGGAAAACTCTGCAAAACACACTGTCATGGTGTCATTGCCGTCATTGCCCAGGCACACCCAACTTGGACTTGGACCATGACTGTGACTTTGACTTGGAAAGGCAACAGCTAGGAGAATAATATCTGATATCTGCACTCCAGGCGCACGGCGCGAGACTACGAGTGCGAGATTACAAAAGGCGCTCTGTTTGAACCTGGGCCTACCTACACTTACACCTGGCGACCTAGGACCTAGGACCTAATGACTGCGACTGCTCACAGCAAGCTCAAACCCAAATCGTCCGAGTCGGAGTCTAGAGTCTAGAGTCTTGAACCTGGCGTCTGGCAGATGGCATCTGTAATAGAATGCGGCGCTTCCAAGCCTGGGCCAAATTGATTCAAGAAAACAAATCTGGTGAAAAACACGGCTCACTGGCAGGCCACAAGAACCATAGGTTTTCAAAAGCTGCTACAGCTGCTGCTACAGTTACAGTGCTACAGCAAGCCGCGCCCACACTCACAATGACTCCATGTGAGAATGCCCTTCATGCGCTGGAAGGCTCCGGCCACAAGCTTCTCCATTCTCTCAGGGTCCAACCTGACCTGGGCACCGCAAAGTAATTTCTGCCAACTCTTCTCGGCCCGAATTCAAAGCCCATGAAAAGGTCGTTGTACATCGTTGCGTTGTTGTATTGTAGTCATAGCCACTTGTCTATGCCATCTATGCTCTAAGACTCTATGAGTCCATGCCCTGATAGTCTGTTAGGTTTGTAGAATCACTAACACATGTGGTTTGCTGACGATACTGTAACAAACACTGGGACACAATGTCAAAGTCTAAGTCTAAGTCAAAAGACCTGAGGTTTGTTCATCATGCGTCGAATGGTTACTGAAAAGTTGCAATATGGGTTAAACAGGTTGTAAGGCGGCCTGTCTATTTTTGGCTAGTGCCCTGCTACGGTCTCACAAGATTGCCAAAGTCAAAGTCACAGTCTTCCTGCTCTGTGGCTGAGTGCAGGGTCTGGTTGCTTTCAATTTTGTTCTATGTTACAATACAAGGCCTTAATATGGCGCTTCGTGGCATCCTAGATCCTAAGCTTTGGGCAATCCAAATGCAGACAACAAACAAATAACTGCAACAATAAAAGTAACCGTTCATCATATAAGTGTGTCTGCTTTCTGCCCTGCCTTGTAAGAAACCTACAGCGCCCTGCAGCCACTGCAGATTGAAGACCAAGGTTGGCTCTAAGACTCGAAAACTCTACCACTACTGCCCTGTGCGGGCATGTCACCGCGCCACTTTCATGGAGCTTTCTTTCTGCTGCAATGAATGCCACAAGCTTTGCTTCTGACAAAGAGGTGCAAAAACAACAGTCAGGGAGTTCATACTCTTCGGGAGCACTGGGTGAGTATTGTGGCTTCAGAGGTAATCAAAAGTCTGTTTGACAGGTTGTTGCGGGGATCTATGGCTTTGACGCCATGCCCCAAGATTTGTAGTGTAGAGGGTGGCTCTCTGAAGTCATTGTGGAGTAATGAATAGACGTAGTTGTCTTGTGACTTGGTTTAGTTTAGTCATGTAGTTAGCAGTTAGGCTTGACTTGGTTTCTGAGTTACTAGAGTCTACATACAGTCTACACTACACTAGCATGATGCGAGCGAGTTTATAGAATCTCATGGCCTGCCATGTTTCGACAACAAACTAACAAACGAGTGAAATTTGGAGGCTCAGTTACTCTGGTTACGGTTCCGGTTCTAGTAACTAGTTAACTAGTGACTCTAGTAACTCTAGTACTCGTTACTCTAGTTAGTTAGTTAGCTTTCGTTAGTTAGTTAGTCAGTTAGTTAGTTACTCTGCGTGAGTCATGAGTGGGTTGACCAATGGCCGGCTAGGCTAGTCGGCTGGTCGCCGCTAGTTACTAGTTACTAGTTAGTCACTACAGGCCTGGTTGTTCCATGACTCCATGAGCATGTGGAACGCATCTCTGGGTTGAGCGCAGCTAAGCTAGTTTCTCGCGACTAGCATCTTCGCTCAGTTGCTGCCAAAACTCCAGGGTTTGGTATCATCACCGCAGCATCTCCCCCAAGAGGTGAGAAGTGAGAAGTGGAACTCAAGCTGTTTTGCCTACTAAGTCACTAAGTTACTATAGTGACTACGACTATGACTATGACTATGCGAGCACACGTTACAATGTTCCACTAGATTCATTCTATATGTTTCTTCCATGCACGGTGGCACTTGTGTCTTATTTGCCACAAAACAGAACTGCGGCTTCAGCCTGCAGCTGCCTTGGCAAGCAGGCAGTGCTCCAAGTTGAAACCCGACTACACTCTACGCTACACTACACTCTACCTGAGCAAATTTGTGCGTAACACATGACATATGACATGATGTATACTTCATTCTTGAGGAGTCAGATGCTGCACAGGTTCGCCAACTTGTCCAACAGCCCAATCCCATGTCCACCACCGTAGTTTTTTTAGCAGTATACTGCGATGTGTTGATTTACCGCGCCACACCTTACATTACATGTTTCTTGTGTTTCTATGTCACTTCGCATCAGCCAGTGAAATGTCGTTGTCATGGTCATGAGGCTTGCGATTAGGTGTGTGGGATCTTGGCTGGCTCTCTTAACAGTGTTAACAGAACATGACACACCAAATGAACTCCCTATAAAAGATGCGAACTGCCGGCCTTAAATGGGTACATGTGCTGTTTCGTTGAGTTTCTACAACAAAAAGAAACGACCCAGGACCACCTTAAAAAAGGTCTGCTAGCTGCTAGCTGCTTTTGGCTGTCTGCGCCATTCCATCACACCCCTTTTTTTGCCAGGGACATGTATGTATGTGGCCTTACGACTCCATGTGTGTTGGAAAAGACCAAAAACTGCAAAAACTCGTTCAATGCGAACTGCAAGTGCGGACCACCCCAAAAGTTATAACATTGAAATTACGCTTGATAAAAATGCGCATGGTAAATATGTTTTGCGTAAAAAATGACAGTTGCACAATGTGACTGACAAACAACTGTGAATGGCTATGGCTATGGCTATGTCCAAGAATGTAGACAGTAGACTCAGTAGACAATTAGTTCCATAGACTGGGCGACTGGGAGACCCAACTACGACCTAGGATCTTATGACTTATGACTTATGACTTATGACTTATGATTGATTACGGGTGATTATTGATGTAAATGTAGGTAGGACGTGAAATGAGTTAGCTTGTTGACGCGTGCCGCATGACCTTGTCATGCCACTTGGGATCTCTGCGATGCTGACACCCCCTGGCCTCAGGAAAATCCTAGGCATCCCATGGCCTGGGCCCGGCATTGCCAGGCAAGACCAAGTCACCGGTGAAGAGTTTCACTGCACCCCGAACAGCTGACCATCCTTGTCCATTGAAAATAAATAACACTCACTCTATCATCCTGGGTCCCGCGCTGAAAAAGGAACAGGGTTGAGTAGCTTTGTTCAGGGCAGGGCTGGTTTTGAAGAAGGATGGCAAACTGTCTCAACTCAAGTCTAAGAGTCTAAGTCTCAGAGTCTAAGAGTCTAAGAGTCCACAAGCCCAAGAGGACTCAATGACGCGTAAACCCCTGAGGACCTGAGGATGCAGTCATAGTCATAGTCACCGTCACGTCATGGCTCAGCGGCTCATTTTTTACGAGAACCTTTGTCTGCCCGCCTTGTCACCACTTGGTTGCACTCTATCATGAGCGCTTGTGCGATCGTGCCGACTTTGTTGGCTGACATTCGCCTCAACTGCATGGACACTTGTCCGGCTGGGTCTTCGGACAGCAAAGCCTTTGTCAAAAGAGCCTCGCTAACCATCACCATGGCCTGGTCCAAGAGCTCCTTGCCGGAAGTGTAGGCTGGACTTTGAGAAGGATCTCGCCCAAATCTGCTGCTCATAGTGGCTGTGTCTGCAAGAGCTGCTTTCAACTTCTTCCAATGTTCTGTAATCGGTTTCTCGACCAATTTGTCAAATTGTGGGACCCATTTCTTGGCCTGCTCCACAATGTCCGCATCCTGGCTGGAAAGCAGACGCATGAAGGTAATCAAGAATCAAAAATACATCTAGAATCTTGAATCTATTGAATCTATTATTATGGTTGAATCTGTTGTGTTGGGCCCTTTTGTCTTCGCGGCCAACCATGAGTCTGCCATGTCACTACTTGTCAGGCACATGGCACAAAAAGCTGTCGGCTTGTCCGTTGATAGGCTACCTACAGGACCTAGACCTAGACCTACACTAGTCACTATAGTCACTAGTCACTAGTCAAGCAATGGCCTCCTACAAGTGACAAACGATGGCTCCAACCTAAAAGCAATGGCCTCGGCCTCAACCTACAAGTGCGGGCCTAACCTACAAGCGGTGGCCTCCTACCTACAAGCGATGGCCTCCAACCTAAACCTAGGACCTAGGACCTAGTAACCTAGACCTAGTGACCTAGTAGTTACTACACGTCAATAATATAACCGATTGCCTCCAACCTACAAGTGGCTACAAGCGATGGCCCCAACCTGCAAGTGATGGCCTCCTACCTACAATTACAAGCAATGGCCTCTTACCTTCCAGCGCAAAAGCGATGGAGTTCAACATCTCTGGGTCTGGAGTCTGGTGGAAGGAAAGTGAAGGTGTTTGTTTGCGTGTATGGAAGATCAACAAAAAACAACATTGGTTCTGATTCTAGTTACTAGTGCCAGGCGATATGTCTGGTTGGAAACCTCCCCTCGTTACTCGTTTTGCTCATACAAAACACTGCAAATACCGACCAACTACTCTACTACTCAGTTGAACAAACAAAAAATACGGTGCACCTGTGCTGGCGAGGTGACCTAGACTCCTGGTCCTGGTCCTAGTCATAGTCGTATGTCATAGTCCGTAGTACTAGTCATCGTTGCAATGTCTCTAGACTCTAGACTCTAGATTAGAGTCTAGCTAGCTGAGGTGAGCCTGAATCTGATGACAACAAATAGCTATCAGCTATTGTTGCTCAAGGGGTGCTGAAATCAATAGTGGCTGAGCATGGCTAAGGCTAAGGCCAAGGCTCGGCTAAGGTTAGCTTGTTGGCTTTTTGCCAAACAAACATATGTTTACATATGTGGTCCCTGTTGATAGAGTCTACAAATGACAAACGCAGCTGACACAGCAGTCCTTGATTCCCTCCTTCCAACTCTTGCCATCGGGCAGACCGCCTGCCAATGGACTGACTTGAGACACTGCGTTCTTCACCTCCTGCTCTGCCTGGCCAATGAAGTGCTCCGCCTGGAGCTTCAGGATCATGTTGCCCTCATCGATTAGGCGCCCACTCTCCTTCAAGAAATCGTAGCAAAGATCATCCTGGCTCTCCGTGGCCTTGTTGTGGAACTTGTTGCATCTGGCCAAGGCTGCCTGCAAGTTTTGCTCGCATTTGCCACACTGCGCGCTTTGTCCTCGTGTCTCAGGTGACTCCCCCAAAGCTTTCAAAGCAGCGGTGCTTTTGCCAAGTTCGATGCTCGACTTCAAAAGGCCACTTGCAGTCTGATGCTGCTCATGCTCCAAGGTATCTGGGACAAAGCTGGCCAACAAGAAGGCAACGCTGCCAAGTGAGCTTGTTTGCTCTGACCACCCCAGCTTCACGATCTTGCGGAACACTGCAAGAGCCTGACCAGTGACTTGACTCGACTATTGGAACACAATGGACCGGAGGAGGGTTTTGTGAAACAGCATGGTAGAGTCCGTCATCGAATCGAGTCGAGGGTCTGCAGCTACAGCTGCTACAGCGTGTCTCCAAAATCTCAAACATCATTCACTAGACTAGACTTAGACTTAGTCCTAGACTGCTGGACTCGCTGGCTGCTGCAGCAGCTAGCTAGATTCCACGGTATCCTGCTAGTACTGACCTGAAAGGCCCTGTGTCACCAGTCAACAGTCCATAGTCTGCACTCAAAACCACAAACAGACAAAGGTTGCAACCGGGAAGGGCTGAAGCCAGTAAGGACTGAGTATCTAATTAAGTCTAAGTCTAAGTCTAAGTCATGAGTCAAAGCGACTCACGACTCCCGACCCCAATCATGCTAGCGTTGTAAAGATCAAAAAAGTAAGTGTGTTGAGTAAGCAGTTAGCAAGGCAGTGAGTAAGTAAGTCAGTAAGTAAGTGAGCAAGTACTAAGCGGTAAGCATGCACGTCTGTAACGACTAAGAAAGTAAGTAAGCAGCAAGTAAGTGACTGACTGTAAAAGAGCAAGTCGTGAGTAAGGAAGAAGGTATCTGATCAGGGTTGTATGGGGCGGAGAGGAACAGGCCGAAAGGACTGCGCAGAGTAAAAACTCTGGGAATCCACACATTTGTCATGCGTAATTTGCTGTCGCCGACATGCTCATTGCATCTCTTGAAAACGCTAATAACTCTTACAACATTGAGAGTCCAAACCAAAAAACGACATGGCGGCGTGACAATACAACATTACAATGACAACAGCTGACCGCCTCTGCAGACCAAGCAGAGAACTGCAAGTCTTTGCATGTGCGGACAGTGTCCAAGAACGCATTGACAGACTCCTCATCGAGCCCATCGTTTTTTTGCGCAGTGAGGAGGAGGGTCTCCAAGGCTTTGTCAAGTGTTTCCTGCCTATGCCTTTTTGCATCTTCTTGGGCGAGGGCCTCTAGCTCAGTAGAAAAGGTCTTGAACTCAGCGCCGATGGTGTTGCTGCTCACCGCTCCAGCCAATAGGCCACAAAGATCCTGTGCATCCTTCGCGTTCATGCACCCCTTTTTCCTGGGCTCGCTCTCTGGCTTCTTCATCTCATCCTTGTGACGCCGCACAGAGTCCAACAAGTTCTGCTCAAGCTGAAGTGTCGCATTGGGCCGCAGTGTCTGAGTCCAACCTTGAATCTTGGAGCACGCGTCTTGAAGCAAGTCCAGACTGGGAAGAGCTTCTGCTTCACTGGCTGTGGCCTCCAAGAACTTCGTGAACTCTGGCCCAGCAGTCTGCTCTGCATATGCGTATGCCCAAAAGACCCTGCATTGCTCCTGCCACAGGCCACAGGCTGGGTTGCTTAGATTAGATTATATCCCCAAAACCCGCAAGAAGCAAAAAAAATGGACTGAACGCATCGCTCGTTCCCCTGGCCCTCTATTATGGAAATTGTTATGGCCTGTCACACAGTGTAGAGTGTAGATTCAGATTTCAGATAGTTTTAAACGTCACTAGTCACTTGTCTGAGTCACGAGATAACAAGTTCATAGTCATAGCTTTGCCGTGGCTCATGGTGGTACAACCAAAAATGAACTTGTGGCAATCAAGCTAGTGCACTAAGTCTGCTACGCCTGCTAAGTAACTAAGTAAACTAAACAATTTTCACCAGGGACCAGGGTCCCAGAGCGGTAACAAAAATGTAACTAGATTACTAACTAGGTCCTAGGTCCTAGGTCACTAGGTCACTAGATAACTTGTTGGGTACGCAGTCCTGCCAATACGCACTTGTGGTCAAAGCAGCGTTGATGATCGTAGCCAAGGACTGCTGCTTTGGGTTTGCGCATGAAGCCTTCTGCAAATCCTTCACGGCATCAGATGGATGGCAGCCAGGTTCGCCACCGACAATGGCCAACAAAGCGTGGGAAACAAGCTGAAGGTCATTGTACAAAGGCTGGAAAGCGTGCCCTCCTTCTACAGTGCAAAGCTCCAAATTGTTCAGGATGGTTTTGCACAAGGATGTAACTCTTGACTCTCCGTCTTTGCTGTCTCTCACAAAAGAGATGAACCGCTCTGCAAACGCCTTCTCGGTGTGCCGAATGGCTTCTTCGTCGCTGCAGCCAGCCAAGCGCAACAAAGGTGCCTCCAAGCTAAAAACATCAGAAGCCCGACCATCACTGGAGTCATCCTCAGATTGTGTCTAGTCTGTGTGTTGCTGTTGCTGTTACTGGTCTGTGTTTCTGGTGAGTTTGAAACAGTCAATGTCAATGTTACGTGGCTGTCATTTCTGCAGAAACAGTGACCCATTGGTCACAAGGCATTCCTACGTCGAGTCTATGTCTATGTCGATTCAAGTCTATGTCTATGTCACGCGGTCACGCAAATAGATCTTGAATCTTGTGCGCCACACCCATCCCAAGAAGAACGTTGTTTGCAAAGTTTGCATGTTGCGCATGAAACCTCAACTTAGTTCCTCCTGTCCTACACTACACAAGGAAAAATGAAGTCTCGTGTGTTGTCTTGAAGCAAGAATGTTGAGTTTGGATGACCAACTTTGGTCGGATTCAATTGTTAACGCTGTTACTGTCATTGCCATAGCCATAGCAACCATAGCATATCTGTGTTTGTGTCTGCATTTGTGTAATATACACGTTACTCAATACAACTATTAACTGTACTAATACTATACGTGCAGCTCCCATTTGAGATGTGACTTAGACTCAGACTTAGACTCGAATCGCTAGTCAAAAAAGATAATCTAATATTATAGCTCTCAGGCTCTACAATCTAGAATCTAGAATCTGAAGAATGGAAGAAAAACAGTCATCGAAATCATGCCTTCAAGGCCCAAGGCTCTATGTTGCGGCTGCGATCGAAAGGCAGCATGGCGTCGCAAAACTTCTGTGGCGCTGCGTCCTTTGCGGCGCGCAAGCACAATCCCACCTTGACTCGCACAGGCACCTCATCCATCGAGATCCCCTGCTTCTGCAATGCTTCAGCCACCACCTTGGCGTGGACCTTGGTATCGTGTCTTGCAATGCCAAGGCCAAGGCTGTGGTGACGTTGACTTTGACACGTACGATGAATGACATTTGACAAACGTATGGTGACATCACGAGTCACGAGTCACGAGTCACAAACCTTTGGTTCACGAGTCAAGAGTCCTGGTCCTTGGTGCTAGTTGCGGCAAGTAAAGTAAGCAAGTAGTGTGAAAAGAATGAGTGAGTAAAGTAAATAAGGGCAACACTGCAACATGCTGCCCACTGCCAGTTTGTCTTGAATCTTGAAGCTACAGTTGACTCAGTTGACTCGTGAGCTGAACAAACCGTAACAAACCAACAAGCGAACATGTCAAAAGCACTGTGACCGTGACTTGACTAGTGACTAGTGACTAGTGACTAGTGACTAGTGGACTAGTGACTAGTGACTAGTGACTAGTTACTAGTTGACTAGTGACGTGACTCGACCCTAGACTCTGGACTCTAGCTGACTCTAGCTATGGCTATGGCTATGGCGGCTACGGCTATGCTATGGCAGCTGTGGCAGCTATGGCATGGCACTATGGTAAAAGCCTGCCAAGAAGCAGCGAGCTGTTCCTGGCTCTGCTTGCAAACCTCCGCAGGCGCAAGCACTGCAGCACTTGTTGCCAAGTTCAAAGCGATCTCCAGCTGGACTGCTTCAGTATCCTTGGCGTTCTTCTCCAGAGCCTTGTGGAAGCGGGTGGCCTGGTAGATGTCTTGTCTTGAAGTGTCGCCAGAAAGAACAGGGATCATGGCAACTTTCTGCAAATGCTCCTGAAGCTTGGTCTGCTCCTTGGTGTAGGCCTTGGTGGTCTCAGCACCACCCTCCTTCCTCCGACGCTTGGGTTCTGGCTTTGGTGGAGGGATGGAGCCAGGTAGTGTAGGAGGAGCTTCAGCCGTCTTCTGTTGTTTGGGTTTCCTGGCCTCTTGAGTTGCAGAAGCACGGCGCTTGTTCGGCTTGTCATCTGGGATGACTCCTGTCGCCAGCCCAGCGCCAGTGACCTGTGCGAGTTATTATTGAATGAACATTGCATGAACACAGTGCGAAACCTTCTGACTGGGCCCTTGTTATAGTAACTGGTATACTCAGACTGACGACCCACACTCTATACTATACTATACTCTTCATGTCTTCATGTGCGGATCATGGCATCAGCACCGTTGGATCAGCGGGTCATCGGACCAATTGGATCATCATCTGACCTCTATAAGACTATAGGATCAGCAGACCATCGGATCGTCGGTCATCGGTCATTGGATCAACAACAGACTCAGACTCAACCGTCGGACCATCAAATAATTTTATATTATATATAAAGTCTTAGTCTTAGTCATAGTCAGTCTTAGTCATCTTAGTATAAGTCTTAGTCACAGTCGAGTCTACTTAGTAGTAGTAGAGTATATAGGTTCTAGATTCTAGATTCTAGATTCACCGTGGGGCCATCGATGCCATCGGACCATCGGATCATCAGACCATCGGGCCATCGGATCAGCGGATCAGAATCATCGGATCGCTGGCTGTGCCACTGACACTGGAAACTTCATCATTGAATCATATTGAATCATAAAATATAAATATTATCATATTATCATGTTATCATCATCGGATCAACAGATCAGCACCGTCGGATCATCGGGTTGTCAGTCATCCGGCCATCGGCCATTGGACCCATTTGACATTTGATTCAATTTGACCATTGGACCATCGGACATCGGATCAGCAGACCATGGGATCGGATCATCGGATCAGCATCGGACCAGTGCCAGTGCCAGTGACAGTGACCAACTTGTGACTCGTGACTGGACTCTGGACTCTGGACTGGACTGGTGACTGTGACTGGACCAGTGACCATCGGATCCATCGTCACTGATGTGAAAATTGTATTGTGAAATGGTTGCTACTGAAATGAATGAATCATGATGAGAGTTGAGAGCACACCAGGCGCCCTACCTCCTCTACAATCTCAGGCTCCTCCACCCTGTCTTTCAGCAACATCTCCAGGCTGGAGTTCTCAGCTTTCAATGAGTCAGCTCTCTCCACCTCCAACTTGCGTGTAGCAGCTTTGTTGAGCAGCTCCTTGTGGGTCATGGCGTCCCCAAAAGCTGAGCGTGAACTGGCTCTGGCTTTGAGCAGCACTTGTAGCGCGTCAAGTCCTTGATTTGGGCGAAAACAATGTTGCCGACCCAATTGCACGTCCTGGGGATGGGAACTGCGAGTTTGTGAGGGGTGAAACTATGGGATTGCAAGATTGACTAAGTCACAGTCCCAAGTCTGAGTCTAACTATAAGTCTAAGTCTAAGTAGAGTCTAAGTCTGAGTCTGAGTCTAAGTCAGACTTTTGGCTAGGCTAGCGGCTAGTGTGACTGTGACAGGGTGTGAATATTCTTGTGACTTTGTAGCCAAGACTGACTAGAAACCAACAAAGTGACGCGACTACTGACTAAGCAGCTAAGCAGTTACCAAACCAAACTGTCTCCGGATAGATAGGACAGATAGGACCGGAGATAGGATAGGACCGGACTTCTGGGCTATCGCTATCGCATTCTTAGTTTAGTCTAGGGCCTAGCTGCTTAGCTGCTTTTGGACATGTGGAAATCCTTGCGCGCATGAACCTCTTCGGCGAAGTTGACAAGTACTCGCTCTGCGTTCTTGTCTTCGCTCTTCAGCACGACACCTTTGACATCTGCTCCTGACTGATCTTTCACAGTGAGCAGACACCCTGGCGCAATTTCCTCTGCCGGGGCACTGTACCTCGACTCAAACTGGGCCAGTGTCAAGAAGGGATGCTTCTCCTCAAGGCGCTTTCCATAGAGCATGACAATCTCCACTTCTTGGTCTCGAAAGCTCTTGATCACGGCCGCGTCAGCCTGCTCCCGCACGCTCCAAAACATGCTGGCAAACGCTGGGTCACCTGGGCAAGGGCGGCTGGGAGCTCGAGGCTGGGTGTGGTTGTGGTGGGTTAGCTGGTGGCGCTAAGCTGCTAAAGGGTCTACTGAAACAGGTTAGAGTTAGAGTTAGTAGTCAAGAGTCAGAGCCAAAAGATGCCTGGGCTGAGGCCTGACCTAGTTGCTTAGTTGCTATGGACTAGTGTCTAGTGACTCTAACTCTAACGGGACCGAGCACAGTGAGTAAAAGGAAAAGGAAGGACAGGAAGGAGTGAATCAAGTCACTAGAAACCTTGGTTGAGGTATGATGGTTTCCTGGTGTTGGACCCTAGGTCCTAGCAGTCCTATAGCAGGGGTCCTAGCTAGAATCGCTGGGCAGATTGTTGGTCAGAGACTGAACTCTTTGAAGCAGCAGTGGGCG